GGTCACTGATGAAGAAGTTAAACAAGACTGGGCCCAGTACTGACCCCTGGGGGACATCACTTGTTACCAGCCTCCAACTAGACTCAGCGCCACTGATGACAACCCTCTGAGCTCTGCCATTCAGCCAGTTCTCAGTCCACCTCCCTGACCACTCATCCAGCCTACACTTCCTGAGCTTCCCTACGGGGATGTTATGGGAAACCATGTCGAAAGCCTTACTGAAGTCGAGGTGGACAACATCTATGGCTCTCCCTTCATCTACCCAGGCAGTCATGCCATCGTAGAAAGCTATCAGATTGGTCAAGCATGATTTCCCCTTGGTGAATCCATGCTGACTACTCTTGATAACCTTCTTTTCCTCCACTTGCTTGATGATGACCTCCAGGATAAGCTGTATCACATTTCCCGGGATGGAGGTGAGGCTGACCGGCCTGTGATCCTGTCATTTACTATGGGGTAGTTAATTTACAGTATTTTAATAATGAAAACTGCATTTCAGGCAATTGTTTGGCTGGGCTAATGATGCCAGGGGAGACTTCTTGGTCAGCAGGTATCCATTTCAGCTCCGAGGAAATGTACAGATAGGAGTTTTCTCCCTAAAATGTGTAGATATTTTTGAAGCCATTCCCTATTCTTCTATATGTACAGAACACCGTAGTGAACAAAGTCTTTGTACTAAATATGAATGCAGTTGTTGTTTCTGAATAAGTGTTTTCCAAGCAGCTCTTGCACTTGCTGCTGTGCAATGCGGCTCTCCCTGCGAGCAGCCAGCCCAGCTGCAGCTTTCCCCAACGTGAAAGCAGCAAGCAGCAGGGCTGGAGGAGTATTTCTGAATTTTCCTGTGCTGCACCAAGCGAGTTACAAAGGCGGCTACAGAAAGGCATTGCATAACTATTGTCTTACTTTCACTTACTCTGTTTTCCACACTTTGCTGCGCTTATTTTATTCAATAGGTGTTTGTGTCAAAACAAAGCATATAGATGCAACTAAATTTGTAAAAATATGGATACTAGGGTGAATTTTTGTATGCCAGGAGGAAAATTTCTGTATTTCCCTATATGTATGAAACTAGGTACTAAGCAATGTACCAAGAAAAACAGACACCCGGGACAGAAGCAGAGCCGAGAAACCCACATGTCGTGGTTTAATCCCAGCTGGCATCTAGGCACCGGACAGCCACTCGCTCACTCCCCTGCTGGTGGGATGGGGAGAGACTTGGAAGGGTAAAAGAGAAAACTCGTGGGTTGAGATAAAGACAGTTTAATAGGTAAAGCAAAAGCCACACACACAAACAAATCAAAACAGGGAATGCACTCACTCCTTCCCAGCGGCAGGCAGCTGCTCAGCCATCTCCAAGAACGCAGGGCTGCATCATGTGTAACTGTTGCTTGTGAAGAGAAACGCCATTGCTCCGAATGTCCCCCACTTCCTTCTTCTTCCCCCAGCGTTACATGCTGAGCACGATGCCACACGGCGTGGGGTGTCCCTCTGGTCAGTTGGGGTCAGCTGTCCCAGCTGTGCCCCCTCCCAGCTTCTGTGCACCCCCCAGCCCACTCACGGGTAGGGGGGGTGTATGAGAAGCAGAAAAGGCCTTGACGCCGTGTAATCGCTGCTCAGTAATAATGAAAACATCCCTGTGTTCTCAGCACTGTTTTCAGCACAAATCCAGAATGTAGCCTCATACCAGCTGCTGTGAAGAAAATTAAATCCACCCCAGCCAAAACCAGCACACCATGGATACTTAGTAGCATAGTAAATCATTGGTGTCTACATCTGATTTTGGCCTTCCAGAAACCTTTTAATTAAATTTTTCTACAACTAACTGCAACCTTTTTTTTTCCACAAAATACATGAATCTGTGCAGATATCCTAATCCTCTTTCCTTCCCAATTCACTGCCTCTTTTCACCACTTATCAAATACCTGATTGCTGGAAGGTTGCAAGCTACTCAGAGCAGTAGCAGTACTAACCTTTATTTTGAGCTCTGAGACACCAGTGCCAACTAAAAACACACACGCACAAAAATCACCCAAATGAGGCACAAGAGGTGTGTGCAGTACTAAGGCTCTCAAACTTCTTGTAGAAACCAGAAGCTCTCATATGTAAGACTGTTTTGTTTTGTTTCTAAAAGAAGGAGAAAGGGAAAGAAGAGAAAGGGAGAGAAGAGAAAGGGAAGGAAGGGAAGAAGGGTGGAGATACATACAGTTCATATTGCAGAAGATAAACTTTTGTAAGGTGGAACCTAAAATTCTCAAAAACATACAAATTGGCAGTCAGAGCTTATATAAATTTGTAAATAAAAACATGCAATACTGTTAATTCTTGTCTCTAATTGTGAAGATTGAACATGATAGCAGCAGCAGGAGTTCTGAGGTGATAATGAGGTTTCATATGAATGACTTTCTGGCTTGTAAGGACAGAAGGACATCCTTGTGCATCCTTCACTGAAAACTTCACAAAAAGCAGGGCACTGGCCCTATCTTATGCCAGGAACAATGACAAGCCTCATAAGGCACCCTTATGTGCCATTTTATTTGCTTATTCTTATAAAATGGGGAAAAAGGCTCAAATTCTGCAGTTATTTATTATGAAATAATATTAGACAGTATCTAATTAAACATATTTTCTAACAAGACGCTCTCGCATTTTGAAATGGAATTGATTCAAGAATGGAGAGAGGTTCTGTGATGTTATTTAAAATATCTCGCTTACGGGTAATGAGGAAGCAAATCTTACGCAGATAGGTAAAGACAACTTTTGGTAAGTATAATGAAAATCTTAGTCTAATGCAAGAATTGTCATTAGTCTAGATCTCATAAAACGAGAAAGAATAATAATGCAGTTAAAGTACTTATTTACAGAAGAAGCCACAATAACAGTGATATTAGGGTTAAAATTTTTACACACATGCACACAGGCACACACACATGCACACTTCATAGTTTCTCTTCCTTCCCCTAGAGATTGCTCCTCTGGGCACTCAGATCAGTTGCTTGAGGCTGCTGGAGGGAAACCACCCCCCAGCCGCTGGCGTCCTTTCTCGGGAGAAACAGGATGTTAATGGTGGTGGTTTATTCTTCCTCTCCCCAGGATCCACTTTGAGTCATTTTTGTGTGTTAGCTAACGCGCTTTTACAGCTTTCTTTCTCTTTGCTGGTCTGCAGCTTCAGGTTACATCTGAATATACTATTTATAGTGCCATTAGTATGTTAGCTACTATTTCTTTTATCTCCCCTAAAATCAATTTTATCAAGCCAGGTCTGCATTTATTTTTTTTTTAAACTAAGCATCAGGGAGCTGTTTATATCCATAGGCACTCCAGTACTCAGCCCATACCCCACCTCTTCTTTAGTGTGTAGCCCTGTAACGTGCTACTGCTGTTGCTAGCAACAGGCCGTAAGCTTTGCACTGTGTTTGCATGGCCTCGGGACCAAGGCTTGCCAGGCATGCTCTGCCTGCGCTTGTCCTGACCTGCCTGCAGCTTTGGTCTGCTTGGTGCAACTGTGACAGCAGTTCCTGGTATTAACGGCCATCTGTATCTGATTTGTTTCACTTTCATTTATCGTTGCACAGTTCAGCTGCAGTTACATGTGGAGAGCAGCAACAAGCCGTTGCTCTAGGTGGCATGATATATTTCGGGCTCTAACACGATGACACAGTGTGCAGAAGTACAGGCCTGGTAAACAACAGAGACTTTGCGATGTGGAGACCCTGGACGAGGGATTGCAGGCAGGGGCAATAGGATGTTGTGGGAGTGTTATGTGGCTGACACGATATCAATAAACCAGGAGCCTAAAGCGTGGTGCAGAATTGTGCAAAGCTGCATCGGCTGAGGCAGGAGGGGGAAATGACCCTTCCCTAGCCTGTGCATGATAACCAGGTCAGCTTATACTAGCCTGAAATATTCTCCTTATCGTAGATGCCTCTGGATTTGAACAAACTGAGTGCTGGGAGCTATTAGGAGCTGTTGCCACATTCTCCACAATCCAGTGTAATGCATGGCACCGAGCCAGGCTGAAAAAAGCAGCTCAGTGACTCAGAAGTTTCTATTCCCCTACTGGCAGCAGTTCCAGCTTCTTTTGCAGCTTCAGACAGAAGTCGAAGTTTCACTTTCTGATTCCCGTTAAATTGCTCACAGATCACATGAGGGCTGGAGCACATAAAAGGGAAGTCATAACAACAGTGAGCCACAGTCCTTTGGCTTTGAAGCTACCTTAGGACAGGTGAGCACAGAAGGAAAACCATGAGGTAAGCAAGTAACCCTGTGTCTGAAAAATGCTTTTTTGCTATGCCATGGGAAAGTAATGCTTATTATTTATATAAATGTAAGCAGTGAGCAACTTTGGCAGTCCAAACAGGAGAAAATACTTTACAGAATATTTACCGGAAGAATAAAAATAAAATAAGGATGCTATTGAATATTGTAAAGTTATTGCTTCTCTGACAAGGGCCAGTCTCTGTGAACAGAGCTGACAGTCAGTAAAACTGTGTGCATGCAGTTCAGGGATGAAATCCAGGCTGCAGCAGTAGGTGGTGCCCAGCCAAGTGGGTGACCGGCAGTGATGCGGCTGAAAATTTACGTTCTGATCTCTACTACTGCTAGGACCAGCAAACAGGGCAGCGCAGGTTCTGGGTTGCAGCTTGGAGCATAAGGGCATGGAAGGGAGGCTACATTTTCTGAAGACTGTCATGCATGCACAGAGGCACACATGCGCACACACACACTCAACTAGGGCAAAGCCAAGATGTTTATGACAAATTTGGAAATTTTGTTTACCAGTTATGTGTTGACCTAAGTTAAACTGTGTTTAGCCTACATCACAAGTCTGTTTTTGTGACATTCATGAATATTCATTTTCCTCAAATGCTTTTTCATGAATAACTCTGTTGTTTTCAACCACAAATGTTTTCGTGGTTCTCAGCTGAGGCAATAAAAAGCAACACAGGTTTCATCTTGAATTGAGTGGGATGACTTAAACGCTTCAAGCTGTTTTCTGCAATATTTTGCTGATTTGGGAGCCCATATCTGTTCTTCTGTGGTATTCACCTGTAGCCGAAGGTTTCTAACAAGATAGTGACAATAACAGGAACTTGCTCTCACTTCCTCTGTGTCCCAGAAGAACTGTAATTACCTGAAATACAGCTTTCTAATTAGGAACTGTTGTTAACATCAATCAAACCCATCAGCTGGACAGAGGAAATTATTTGAGAAAGGCAGAGAAGTCTGCAGCACAAACTTATGCATTAACAGCATTTATAAATTTCTGTCTGACCTTACTCCAGTCCCCTGAGTCAGATGGTTTGGGTAGAAATTTTCATTCAGTGTCACTTTCCCCAGTGTCCTTCTTATTGTCCCAGAATCTGCAAGAATTGCTCCCCAATTCCTCCCTGGTTTGCCTTGTCCTCATTTTCCAGCCTTTCCACTCACTTCTTTTTTTAACCCAAAAGACATCTCATTCCATATATGATTTTGCAGTTGAGCAGCAGGACACGTTATAGCATGCAGGCTGTTAGACCCTTTAGGTTTTACAGGAGGGAGAGCAGAGAAGTCTTTCTAAGAAAGAGGGATTTGACCGAGAAGCCTCGGCTATAAAGTCGTGTATAATTCCTTCTTGAAGGGAGAGCACAAAGAGGACTAAAGCCTTATCTCCTCTGCACTCTAAATGATTGTCCTCGGTAGGCAGTCTGCACAGAGGCAGGGGCACAGGCAGGCGGTGGCAGGAGGGGGAGCTCCAACAGCACCCTGCCCTGGCTGCTCCCAGCCCTGTCCCAAGAGCCATTGACCTGTCCCCACGCACACAGAGAAGCACAGAGCAGAAGGGCAGGCGGGGGGGCCCCAGTGCCCAGTCGGGGACACAAGCCCCCAGCCAGCCCTCGCAGGGCTGCCCCAGGGGACTCTCAGCCCCACAGGCTGGGGGGACGCCCAGCACCAGGGGTCCAGAAGCACCTGACAGTCTGAACTGCCTAGGGATGTGGGACACATGATGGGGTGCGAGGAAAAGCATTCGGGGATTGAGCAAGACTTATTGCAGGATGTCTGGGGAGGGGACCAAAGACAGGGAAACGAGGGATCTGGGTGATTTGCTAAGGAACAAGTGCTGAACATAGAGAGGGATAAAGCGGTATGAAGGACCCACTTCTATATAAACAGGGTCTGGTCGGTACGCGTGCGTGCATGTCTGTATGCCTGTCTGTAGGGGTGAGGCACCTGGGTAGAGGGAGGATCCCTGCCAGCTACCGGATGTGTAAATCCAGTTTCTGGGGATCTATAGGGTCAGGAGTGAGTGGTCTGTACCAGCGAGTGGAGTGGGGTTGCACCCTCAGGAGGCTGTACACCCAAGTGCCAGGAACTGGGGAGACTGCTGGGATCTGGGACCCAGCTACTGGATACACCAGTATAATCATAACATAAAAATGGTGCTATGATCTAACAAACAAGCATATACAAATGCAGGAAATTAAAAAAGAAATTTATAAGCCAAACCATAAAATACACAGACACGGGAAAGGCACTAATATTACCCTCTTCGTATTTTGGGGAAGGCTTTTTATTTGATTACCTGTTTTGGGTAGGCTTCAGCAATTGTTCCCAGCATAGGAAATAAGTCCCTGAGGCGCAGAGGTGTGCCAGCTTTACCAGAGAGACTAGCCCTCCTCTTTGATATCCAGACCACCAGCTCTGTTGCTGTGTAAGAGGTGCCCTCATACACTGGCAAGGAGAATTACTAAAATAACTATTTGGATCTTTAGAACTACAGCTTTGGCTTGTTTGAAGTATTGTTGACTAGTGGCACCAGCTGAGGTACTGCCTGCTTTTGAAGTACATTATGCAAAAACAAGAGTAACAAAAAGTGAATGGAGTATAAGTAAGTTTTTCTTTGATTTCTTCCAGTACTGTTTCCAAGAATGGCTTGAAGAGCTCCCTGCTGCAGCTAGAATGTCATTTTACATGGACTTTGCTGAAGCAGGATGTGGATCTCGATGAATTAGAGGAAACAATAGGTGATCAGATCAAGTTTTTAATAAAATCCAACATCACAAATTATAATCTACAATCCTATGTATCCCACCTAAAGAACATGGATGAGGAAGCCCTGAGAAATCTCAAAAAAGCTGAAGAAGAAATTAAAAAAAATCACCCAGATGAAATTGCCAGGAGAAGTCTTGTTACCTGGGGGAACTATGCCTGGATCTATTACCACATGGAGAGATACAAAGAAGCTCAAGCTTACGTCAGCAAAGTGGAAAGCAGCCTCAAAAATCTTTCAAGTAATGCTCAATGGAAGTTTCAGTTTCCAGAAATCTACGCTGAGCAAGGATGGGCATTAATAAAGTTTGGGGCAAAATACTACCAGAGAGCAAAGGATTGCTTTGAAAATGCTCTAAAGAATGAACCCAACAACCCAGAATTTAATGCTGGCTATGCAATAGCAATGTATCGTTTGGAAGATTTTTCTCACAGACAATGTGAAGCTGTAAGCCCGTCCCTTCAGCCCCTGAAGCGTGCAGCGGAACTGAATCCAAAGGATACTTTTATTGCAGCATTAATTGCATTAAAACTTCAGGATTTAAAGCGAGCTGATGAAGGGGAGAAGTACATTGAAGAAGCAATGCAGAAAACCCCTGATCTTCCTTATTTCCTGCGATATGCCGCTAAATTTTACAGAAGGAAAGGAGAAATGGACAAGGCACTGGAGATTTTGACAAAAGCTCTGGCAGTGTCACCAAAATCTACCTTTTTGCATCACCAGATAGGACTCTGCTACAGAGGAAAGCTCTTTCAGTTGAAAAAGACTACAAGATATCCACCTCAAGAGCAAGTGGATGAACTCATCCGACTTTCCATTTTTTATTTCAAAACATCGACTGAGCAAAAGCAAAAATTTTTTTCTGCCCACACTGACCTAGCAAACATGTATGCGCAAGCAAAGAGGTATGAAGAAGCAGAAGCGACATTTCAGAAAGCGTTCCAGATTAATATTCTGTCCTATAGTGATGAACAAGAACTCTACTACCATTATGGCAATTTTCAGCTATATCATATGAAATCGGAATCTAAAGCCAGAAGGTATTACACAGAAGGGCTGAAAATTGAAAAAGATTCTCATGCAAGAAAGAAGTGCAGACATGCACTGAAGAAATTGCTGGAACAGAGAATTCGGGCAGGTTTAGAAGATGCAACAGATTTTGGTACACTTGGACTCCTTCATAATCTAGATGGTGAGAAACATGAAGCAGTTCTGTGCTATGAGAAAGCAGTTGCATTGCATCCCAACAATGAAGAATATTTGAGAGCATTATGTGAGCTACAACTTTCCATCTCAAACTAAGCTCCCAAAAGTCCTTCACACAAAGAAAAACCCAAATGCAAGGACGTTTCCATAGACTCTCAAAACTTTTTTTAAGGTTGAAGTTGTAACCAGATGAAACACCTGGTGGCATCACTTTCTGGTGATAATGTAGAAACTGCAGAAGACAATTGTTCATTTGTTTGTTCATTCACCAACAGAGAGCATGCTTGGATAGTCTAAAAAATAGCTAAGCTATCTTAGCCTTCAATGCTAATAAGGACTAGTATAAATGTTGTGTTTAAGTGATGAACTGTGGAACATAGAACTTATAATACCTGGAAATCAGATCTTACCTTCTACTGAGAAAAAGATAAGGTAATCATATTGTAGTATTTAATCTATCCACTTGAAAGGCATGTTTATACACAAATGGAATTTCTGATGCTTTTTCAAATATTTAAAAATGTTCTTTTTTTAGTGTTATTTAGAAGAAGCTTCTGTTGAAGACTTGTTCAGTTTACTTGTATGTTGTTTAACTATGAAAACTAACCACTGCTTGGCTTGTTCACTGTAAAGCTGATGAAACATGTGTTGTTGTTGCAAACTATTAAAGAACATTGCATCTATCAGCTGTTGCTTCAGGTATCTCTCTGCTGATCAATCCTCACGTTAGTAGATGAAAGGGAAAAAGCCATTCGAAGAAGTAACAGGGATAAAGTTATGGCAGGATACGAAAAGGTCAGGAGATAGCAAAAGGCAGTCTTTGGGATGCCAGAGACGGCTGTCTGTGGCCATGCTTGTGAAACAAGCCAGGGGTAGAAAACACGCACAAGATATGTGAACTGGACATGGAAGGCAGAGTGCAGCTAGAGCAAAGAGTTGCAGGAGCACTGGAGAACGGAGCAGCAGAAGGCAAGGGGCATGTGGGAAAAGCGGTGGGTGCCACCTACCTGAGTGGAAGAAAGTCCTGAAAGGACAGAGAGAATGGGTAGAGGAGGTGATTGTCTTCAAATATGCAACTAAAAGCCAGTATTCTTTACAACAGGCTGGACTAATTTCACAGTATTGTACCTTGGTATAATAGATTGTGGTGCTCAAGCAAAACTAATGTTGCACTTCTAAAACACTTCTGAGCCCTAGCCAGTAATGCAGAACGCAGCAAACTGGTGACAGGGTCCATCAGGAAGGATGAGTGGTTTTGATTCCAGCCATCCTGCAGCATTCCTG